TTAATTTTAATTATAATTTTCAAAAACTAAAAGTAACCGGGCTAACTATGACGTCGGGACGTCTAACATCTCAGTCCCCCCGCCCCCCGTGATCACAGATTGCTGTAAAGCACCAGAAACGTCGGGAATTAAAATAAGTAAATTAAAGGCGATAAAATCCGTAAACATAGTTTTTTTTTTAAATATTTTACAAAGTGTTTAGTTTTTTCTTTATGGCAATTTCACGACAATTATAAAAAAAAAACTTGTGATGTTTCGTATTTTAAATACCTAGTATTCCCCAACGTATCCATGAGCATTGAGCAGAGCACGCGGTGCGGATATGAATTTCAGTGCTTACACGTGCCGGCGCGTGCCGCACAATAGATGCTTTAATGGCGTCTATAGGGCGGAAAAAATATTTGTAATTTTAAAAGCTATGTTTACAGATTAACTCAATTCTGTAGTCTTCTATTGCATAGATGTGGACTAATCTAAGGGATGATGAAAATTTATCAAAGATATTGTTCACAAGAAATCCCTCCACCTCCTTATCAACTTGTAAGAACTACAGCTAAACGTGGACCTTCCCCATATGAAGGAGGATTTGCCGTGATCGCTGTGGTTTTCAGAATGATTGAGGTAATAATACAACCTTTAATGCTGTTACCCATCGCTGTTCTATGTTTTTTTATCAAGTATAAAATTACTCAGGGGAAGAGAATTTCATAGACGCGAGCAAAGAAGTTCCGACTCCCGTCGGCAATAAAATTGTTAATTGCAATTTTAAGTACTTAATAATATACCAAATGGTCGGCGGTGGAGTAAAACATCGTGAGAAAACCTGCATGTAATTCTGAGAAATTAAATAACATTTCGATGCCATGTGAAGTCTGCATTGGGCAGGGTGGTGAAATCTTCCTTACACTAAAATCCTGTCAGGAATGATAGAAGGTCTGTGCCCAACGTTCGGCCGGACTATGTCATATATAGTAACTACTTTTATGCAGCTGCTCTTATGCAGAGATTACACAATCCACCTGTTATAAGTGGATGCTGTGGCCCATAGACACCTACATTTATTAAGAATCAATGTAGTAATTAAGGGACAAAGAATGCCTCATTATAAAAATTCCAGTAAAAATAATCTACGGTTCTCTACATTCACCACACGAAACACAGCAGCATTAAGCTGCTATTTTACGTTGGTATTTTGTGAGAGCGTGGTTCTTCTCCGGTCGAGCCGAATAATTCCTACTACAACCATACGATGACGTTATGTTGTAGTTGAAGCACGAATGGGTCGGCTTGATCGGGGAAGGACCACGCTCTCACAGAATACCTGCCTAAAGTAGCCACTTAATGCTGCTCTGTTTCGTATGGTGAGTGTAGAAATCCGGAGACCCTTTTTACTGTAAACTAGGCATTCTATATTAGTCCTCACGGGTGACAACGCATCTGCATTTTGATTCGTAATCGAGTATAGATGTAGATCTCTATGGGCCACAGCAACCGCTTACCATCAGGTGGACTGTGTGCTCGTTTGTTACCCATATCCTATAAAAAAAAACGTTAATTTAGGGTGTGATTTACCACGTGATTGGCGATGAAAAAAAAACGAAAATCGTAAGGGCGGCTGACGGTTCCATAACGCAATGGCAAAAGCGGTACAGGATTTTTGTATGGCCGACCTACCTACGCATATTTTTTACGTGTCTGAACGTATGTCAAGTGCGATTTATATATGTAAAACGCCTTTACGATAGAAGAAAATCCTTCTGTTTTATATTAAAAAGTAAAAAAACAAACAGAACACGAAGCGCAAACACAGTGGTAGCCATTTAGAACCTCTTAAAAGCTTAAAACGGGTAAGTAAGGAGCACATAGTAAATAGTAGTGGTAGAAGTGAGTGCTTCTGATATTTGCACCTACAACTGCGGCAAAGTAAGACATATTATGCAAATGGCATACGATTCTGATTATAAAAATAACTTATATATTTACAGTATTTCAGTAATAAAACATAGTGATAAGTGATAAAAATAATATAACTAACAAAACAGGATAGATTGGGAAAAATACTTTTTCATTTTTTTTTTATAGAAATAACTATTACTCAAATAATAATTTTCAGCGGTCAAAACTAGTATAATTTTAAGCTACGGAGGGCTAAATCTAAACTACAAATAAAGCAAACCCCTAATCCTTCACAATAAGGAAGCTACCTACATAATACGGGCACTTGGAATTCAGCTAGCAAGCATTGGACAAGGACAGCGGTGAGGGACGGGAGGGACGATGTGCCAGGGGAGGTGTGAGGGCGCGACGTGATTACCGGCGTCCAACCGGGACGACCCGGTTCACCCAGCTTCCCCGGCTCGTCTACTCGGGTATAATGTAATACAGGCACGTATAACAAAGTTTTTTTTGTAACCGTCTAGTCATATACGATCATTGTTAATTATATTCATAATACGATATTATTACTTGTATTTTGTGAACGTTGTTATTTCCCAAGTTCTTTTTACATTATCTTTATATATAAAAATTATGTGTCACGTTATTTGTCCGCGATGAACTCCTAAGCTACTGAACTGATTTCAATGAAATTTTGCACACTGTGCAGTTTGGTCCAACTTGATAGATAGTATAGTTTTTATCCTGATAAGTGACGCTCAATATTTTTTTATTACGAATTTAAGGATTTGTTATATGAAGGGTACGTCGAAAAGGGCAGAACAACGTCTGCCTGCTAGTATAGGAAATCGATCTAGTTGAATCTTCAATTAATTCATAAAACATCATAACCATCACTGAACAAGCAACTGCTGGACATGCGTCACAGTTGGAGAGGTTTGACATGATCAACACGCTTGGTAGATTGCCGCCTAACATATACTCGTAGTTCGCAGTTTCGACCTTACGACGCTGCTCCATTTTCCGTTTTTCTTTTGTTGAAATGAACAGCAGAAGCCCATTACAGCGCTGGACTGTTTTCGAGCTGATTACGAAGGTAATAAACAAATTGTTATTTATTTATCGGCTGTCGTAACATTTTCTTCGAATTTTACGCAATTGAATCATACGGTTACGGTATCCATGTTGTGATGAATTTTCCTACGCTACAACCTAACAACTATTGCGCAAACTATCTAACATTCATTAATATAAAAATATTACAACTTTATTATTTAAAAATGTAAGGGGTAACTTAACTTTAATAATAAATGTTGTTTGTAAACTTAGTCAATATATAATGCTCTTTACTTGTAAAATAAAATCTGATTTTTAAGAAAACAACTCTCTCTTACAGAGTATCAGAGTAAAATGACAGCATACTTAGTAGCATAATGCCGCTATGTTTCGTATAGTATGTGCAAGAATCGAGAACTTCTGAAAAACGCATTCTAACATTTGGATTCTTAATCGAAGACTGTCACAGCATCCACTTTCTATTAGTTGAACTGTGTACTTGTTTTAAATGGATACATGTTGAGCTTCTAACGGTTCACGCCCCTTGTCACATGCTATATAATACATGTAAGTATAGGTACTTATTTAAATTCCTTTAATACTGAAAATTTCGGGAATCAAGGAAGTGACACAACAATACTATTTAAAAATGTATTTATTGCTTTTCGAAGTATTCTCCGCGAAATTTGACACATTTTTCCATACGATGGAACCAATCATTGAAGCAACCATTCCATTCGGAAGTTGGGGTCTCCAAAATGGCCGTTTTGTAGGCGTCCACAGCTTCTTCAGGTGATGAAAATCTCTGTCCACGCAATTTATTCTTTATTTTAGGGAAAGTATAGAAATCATTAGGGCTTAGGTCGGGGCTGTACGGCGGATGGTCTAATAATTCCATGTTTTCTTGCTCTAAAAACTCTTTTGTTCTGTGTGCGGTGTGAGAACTCGCATTGTCGTGATGGAGGATGATGCGGCGGTTGCAGTTCTCTTTACGGAGTTCAGAAACGACCTGTGGCAAACAAATGCTAGCATACCATTCTGCATTAACCGTTCTTTGTTCCTCAAGAGGAATAGTCGTAACATGGCCGATTTTGGAGACAAACGTGGCCACCATTTTTTTTGCAACACTCCGTGAACGAACAATTTTTGTTGGCTTTAACTCATTTTCGAACACCCAAACTCGTGACTGGTTTTTTGTTTCGGGTTCGTACGCGTATATCCAGGATTCCTCACCTGATACGTTGTTGCATACAGCATTTGAGGATCCTGCGTGGAATCTTTCGAGAGTTCTGACGCACCAAGTAACGCGAGCCGCTTTTTGCTCTTCACAGAGCGAATGCGGTATCCATCGGGAAAGCAACTTTTTTACACCTAATTGTTCATGCAAGATTATTTGTATTTGACTCATGCCAATGTCTAAAGTTGCCTGAATTTCGCGGTATGTCACATGTCGATCTTCCTCAATCAGCTTACGCACAGCATCAACGTTTTCTTGGGTGACTGCAGTTTTTGGACGACCTTGACGGGAATCATCACCGAGCTTGACACGTCCACGTTGAAATTCAGCAAACCAGCGATAAATTGTGGTTTTGGATGGGGCTTCATCACCAAATGCAGAAATCATCCGGTCAACACATTGTTTTTGTGTTAAACCACTTCGAAAGTCATAATAAATCATCGCTTTTGAATTTTCTCGAGTCAATTCCATTTTCTCAACGACTAAACAAGTTTGACAAAACCTTGTGACAAGACCGAGAATCTTTTTTTAAATAAATATATGGTATTCGATTTTTAAAACCAAGGAGTTTTCGATTAAAAAGATTTTAATATGACAGGAACAGTGGAAATATTCCATTCCCGACACTTTTAGTGCAGCCTATTTAATAGAACGCATGGGCATAAGTACTTGTAATTATCTATTCTGTGGCATAAGTGAGATTTTTTTTCTGAAGTCATTTGTAAAATGTCAATAATATGTCAATTAATCTTAACAATTAATGTGTCATTTAAATTATTCCTGAAACAGTACCTATATTTTATTTTGGGCGATGGCGTTAAAACCTACCACATGCAAAGACGCAATCGCACGTTGGGAAAAAGCGAAAGAAGAGACCGCCGCTGAGGCCAAAGTAATAGAACTACAATTTCAATGGCCACCGATCGAAAAAATGGATGGAGCGCTCTCGACGCTAGTAAACTGCGAGTAAGAAATACGTATCATTTTACGTGTCATTTACCCTTAAATATAAACAGTCTTTAGGACATTTAATACCAGGTAGTATTTTCATATCGTGTGCGTATTTTCATGCGTAAGTATGATATTAAAAAAGATGGGTATGATTGTCGTAAACAAGTAAATGTAACCGACATACGAGTAATATTATCTAATATATAAAAAAATATTTGTGTTTGTTCGTTTTTTATTCGCTGCCATACCGTTCATCAGATTGCGGTAAAACTTTGTCAAATTATTGCTTGCACTTGTATTGTGCGAAAGTTATAGGCATACAATTAACTTACACTAGGTGGCGCGTGTATCGTATAGCCAAATTTATTTGAAAATTATATATCATTCAATTAATGTATTCCTTCCTAATTAAACAATATTTTTCACAATTATTTCTTCTGCAGCAGCAACGCGCCGTGTACTAGCTAGTTATAATATATTTTATAGTTAGAGAATGTATTTTTACAGCGAGATATAGAGTGAATTTTGACTACGATAATCTATCATTCCGTGGGTGTCGTAAGAGACAACTATGTGGAATGCAAGAAAAATATCACAGCATCTTAAAACTCGGTAATAAATATCTTGTTACCAAATTTTATTAAAAAATATTCAAAATGCGATTGTGTCTACCATTACCACTAATCTATTGGGAATCGTGGTTGGTTTCATATATTGTCGTTTGACGTTTGGTTTAGTTTTATTGTATGAATTAGTCTACGAAGTATAAAGTCTCAACTAGCACGCCTGCCGGCGGGGAAATTACGTCATATCTTCCCTACCGTAAAGAGTCCCCAAGATATTAACTCGCTGTTGAGTAGCTGCTGACTGCAAGCTATAAATTATACAATGATGACGATAAACTCTTATTGACTAATTCGGGTACGATTCAGACATTAGTCATAAACACGTGTAGTGGCGGTGTAAGAATATCCTCTGCCCCATATCATTACGTGACTATTGTAAGAAGCGACAGAACAAAATAAATCAGAAGATGGGCAGCAGCGTCTTCCTAATAACGACTAAGAATAAAAAACTGCGGTTGCCAACCCGCTTGCCTAGCCAACTATGGCAAATATCCCCCTATGAGGCAATCTATGGGGGAGGCCTAAGTTCAGCAGTGGACTTTAATAGGCTGTAACGGTAACGGTAACCGTAAATACTTGGTCAATAGTCAAGTCAATTTACAATGCTGCTTTCTTACTCATTACTAATTTGCATGAAATTTTTGGGTAGCTTTAACACAATAGCTATGGGGTGTGATCGTTTATTTAAATACTAAAAACCACACGAGAGCATATTCTTAAAAGAAAGAAAAACGCTACAATCAAAACATTGTGGACTTCGTATTCCGTTATTAGGGCTAATATGGCAAAACTACGAGTAGGTATTATAAGAGACTTATTTTAGGTTAAATAAAAAAAATCACGTGACGCCAGGGTAGTTTCTTACCTTATATAAAGCGCAAGTCCGGTCGTGCATGGAGTCACATATGGGCTGGTAATTTAAAATGCAACCTAGCCGCGTTGCACTTAGTGGAGGGATGAGCTAAGAGGCTTATTGGTAACCTTGATTTAGTTGAAACCAATATTGTCATCCTCGAGCACAGGCGCGGAATAGCTAGCCGCCTCTCGGTATTCTAATAACCGGCCAAGTACGAGGCGGACTCGCGCATAAAGAGTTCCGTAAAACCTTACTACACGTTTCTAGTATGGGAGCCCCTTTTAATTTTTAATTTATTTTAATTTTTATTATTTGTTGTTATAGCGGCAACAGAAATACACATTCTGTGAAAATTTCAACTGTCTACATATTACATACGGATCATGAGATACAGCCCGAGGACAAACAGACTGACGGACAGCAGATGCTTAGTAATAGCGTTGCATTGGTTACCCCTTGGGTAGGGAACCCTAAAAAGCATCCTAATTCCTAACTTTCGGAGAGTGTTCGCAAAAATTACCTTTTAATTGCTCCTCCATCGGACAAACCCTTTGTTGTCGATATTCAACGCATTAGAAACAAACGGTTGGCTTAATTTTTCGTAATGCGAACTATAGTAGGAAAGGAAGGGAATAATTTGGCGGCGTTTTTCTTTTCGTCCGAATACAATCTGGGCGTCTTCAAAGAAAGAGACTGAATAGGCTTTTGTTACGCTAAGACAATGCGATTTACCATCTAAGGCTTCATCACCGCTTACCACCAAATGGGACTGTGGTCAAGCCCTGGCTTATAATAGCTAACTAAAAAACGTCATGAGAAACTTATGACAGAAAAGAGCTTAATTTCTGAATTTTATGTTCATAAACTTTAGTTAAAAGCAGATAAATATATAAAAAAAGGCTTTAATAGATATTGACTATACACATTTTTAGTTATTAATATTATTCTCGTGATTATTTCGATAATTAATTTTATATTGTTGTAATTGTTGTAATTTTATAAATATATAGATAATAATTACGTATGCATACAAATCCAGCAGGTACTGTATTATATTTAAGAGATTATTAACCAAATAAATCATTTAAAAAAAATGTTATTTTTGCCTCATATTTATTAACATAAAATACATTGTAAACAATATTTAAGTGGCTATTATAATTTTAGAAAACTAAGTTTGTCGTCCAATATGATCGACAAAATTGCCGGAATTGCCGGAATGAGAAATCTTAAGATCTTGTCTCTTGGGAGAAACTACATAAAATCTTTGGCAGGGATTGTAAGTTTTTGTAACAATGATCGGTGTACATTTGCTTTATACCTAGACCTACGTATTCAAACAATAAACCTTTATTTCTTACCTAGGAGACCGTTGCGGACACACTTGAAGAATTGTGGATCAGTTACAACTCTATAGATAAATTGAAAGGAGTCGGAGCTCTTAAAAACTTACGCATCTTTTATATTTCCAATAACACGATTAAGGAATGGGCAGAATTCAACAGATTACAGGTCACTTCTTTAACGCTAAATTTTTAACATTTTAAAACTATGTTTCGTATCCACGTTATTCATCTTGACTGCCTCGTTGGTTTAATGGTTGTAGTAGTGCGACTGCCGATCATGAGGTTCCGGGTTCGAATCCCAGAAAAAAAATCAGTTATTGGATTTTCCGTCAAGAAATTCTCAGTAGCTGACTAACGGAGTCAGGAAGTTGGCGATGCCTCGCTCCCGTACCTCGGAAAGCACGTCAAACCGTTGGTCCTGCGCCCGATCTCTCTCCGATCGTGTCTGTTGACCATCCCATCGAACCATGTGGGTGAGGGTATAAAGAGTGCACCTGTGCTTGCGCATACACTTGGGCACTATAATTCTGTCCTGAACCGATGGTTAGTCTTCGTTGAGGCTGGCCGCCGTGACCGAAATTCGGTCTGGTGAACATTATTATTATTCATTGCATTTTGTCTAGACGCTTGAAATAAGTTTCTTTCCCCTAACATACATTTGATTTAATTAAATAGAATATAATTTATAATACAGTAATATTATTAAATAATGTATGAAGATATGTAGTATAATTTAGATTATCTTACTTTTATAAACCTAACTAGCTGATCAGGCAGACGTTGTTCTGCCCTTTTCGACGACCCTTCATATAAAAAATCCTTAAATTCTCCGACTTTGTCCTATAAAAATCGTTAAATTACCAATAAAAAATATTTAGGGTCACTTATCAGGATAAAAACTATCCTATCTCTAAGTTCGACCAAACTGCTCTCAGTGTGCAAAATTTCATTAAAATCAGTTCAGTAGTTTAGGAGTTCATCGCGGACAAACAATGTGTGTCGAAAAATCACAAGGTCAAGTGCACAAGGATTATAGAGACCTTACCAACTCTTTCCTCTAAATTCCATCATCAGACTGCCAGACGTTCGGCTGGTCTCCATCCTATTGTTGCCGACATATCACACATTCAAACCAAATGGTTTGCTTTGTCGTTCATAACATAGAGTAGTTAGCCTAATAATACTATGGTTCATAATGCGTAAACAGAAGTTGAATTTGCCAGCATCTGTCGTACCATCCGATTATAATGTAGGTGTCTTCAAGGTAAGAGTGAATAGGCTTTTGTTAGACTGAATCAGTGCGCTTTGCCATCATCGGCTGCATCACCACTTACCATCAGGTGGGATAGTAATCAAGATCTGGCTTATAATAGTAAAAAAAAAATCACTTACTTTAGGGTCAAACACAATTAAATAACAGGATGCTTCTTATTTTAGCCGTCTTAAAAAAAAGCCGGCCAAGTGGGAGTCGGACTCGCGCACCGAGGGTTCCGAACAAATTCGTAGTTATATAAGTTTAAAATTATTAAAAATATTTTTATTATATGATGTAACTAAAAATTTATGCTTTTCGCAGTTTTTCCTTTATCTGTGCTATAATACGTTGCTTCGTTTCAAATTTTAAGATTCTGATTTCACTGTAGGTTTTGATTCCCTTGCGAATGTCGAAAATTTGCGGCATAAACGGCTGTATCTTTTGATTGCGTTGGCTTAGAATTTTGATTTTTTCACAGCTCCAAGGGACAGTAGACTTGAGTATTTAATATGAATTTCAGCTTGATACCTTCACGCGTTCCTGAGAAAAAGGGTCTTGACAGACAGATGGACAACAAAGTGATCCTATAAGGGTTCCGTTTTTTCCTTTTGAGGTACGGAACCCTAATAAGAGGCTCTCAACACTATTTTTTACTATTACAAGCCAGTGCTTGACTGTTGTATTTTTGTTGCTTACTGTACTGTAATTTTACTTTATTGTAATTCTTTATTGTAAAGTTTTAAGTAAAAAACTGTTTAATATATTTTATTGTTTGCAGGAGTGCCCAGCGCTCAGAGATCTCGTGTTTATCGGAAACCCTCTGTGCGAGAATCAACCTGACGTGGAAACTTGGCGCACTCAGGCATCCAATCGCCTTCAACAGATAACTAAATTAGATGGAATACCTATTGTTAGAGATACCGATTAGAAAAGTAAAACATTATTTTACAAAAATATGAAGATTTATAATTTATTTGAATTTTTTTCTGTACACTGGGTGATTCTGGAGTCTTTCAACCCCATGAATATTAAGTAATTTGTTCGAATACTAAACATTATTAGGTAATAGTTCTAATTTGTGCATAGAGTTATGGAATGCAGATTATTCCGTGGGGTGTTGTAAGAATCGACACAGGAAATTGAAACAGGAGATGAACAGCAGCAACTTTCTGATAACGGATGATAAAAAAAAATTGGAAACCGCCTACCATTCTACCGTTTTGGTAGAATGTAATTAAGATGATGATTATGGAATCTAATCATTAAATAAATATTAAGTACCTAAGTAAATATTGTTCACCGGTCACTACTAGCTTGCGACCATTCAAACATTTTGCCGAATAGAAATAGTGGGGAACACATCTTAGTTTGAAATAATTACACCATCAATTTAGTAATTGTCCAAGGTCATTTCTACATTGACATTAGCCGAAATTTAAAAATGCGGAGGCATGCTGCATATCGTTAACGTCAGTAACAATGTGTTTTAATCAAAGCTATTTTACATCTATTCGAATGTCTTTCTTTTAATGTTCTAATGATATTACGCGGTTATAAATATAAGATACTAACAGTTTTTTTTTTTAATGAAACATGAAATAACTATTGTTCTTAGCTACTTAACTAGCTGGTTGTCAAATCTGTTTATTGACTTTAATCTTAAACCCGGTCACGTGGTTGCAAACTACTTTATTTTATGTATTGAAAAAATATACTAAAACTAACTTATTGTAATGTATAGTGCGTCTTAAATATTACAATGCAACTAACAAAAACACGCTTTTGTAGATAATCGTTTTTTCACTATTTTCTTATTTTAAACTTATTGAAAATTATTTTTTTACTTTTTAGTTCGGTTATCTACAAAAGCATGTTTTTTTTTAGTTTTTTTAAACTATTATGTATTTTTTTTTTTGGTGCGGCAACTAGAAATGCGTGCTTTTTTGTTTCTTTTTTGGAACGAAGTGCTTTTGCGCGGCTTACAGTAGATTGAACCGGCAGAAATCGTAGTTGTTTTATGAATTATTCGTAAATCCTCAGGATCCTGGCAAGGATAATGGGGACAAACTATTTAAATTATTGCATTGTCATCGGTCCTTGATCAGTGTGCATGTGTAAGTTGCAAATCAATTCGATGTTTTAAAGGGGACGACAATCATATTTAAAAATTCCGTTACATAGATCAATCATACTTAATTATAAAAAAACGTATTAAAATATTATAAGAAAAGAATTGAGAATTTAGGTTTACGTTTAGTAATCTCGCACCGGTAGGTAGTCGTAGATTTTACTATATGAAGTCAATGAGTCGATAGATACTCGTACAAACGACTTATCCCGTTTTTACGACGTTCTATTCTCGAGGCCTATGTTCAGCAGTGATACTTCTTGTGTTGCAGAAAATTTCGAGCACTTTCTTTACGAAAATATATAATTCGAGTTTTTATTATAATATTGTCATTTCAATGGGAACTTATCAAATCGGTCAAATTGATGACAGAAAGCTTCCAGTCGAAGCTCGTGTTTTTTTGAGACAGAACGTTCTGCAGTGCGTGGGCGAGCATTGTTGTTGGGAAGTAATGGACTAGAATAATTGATAAGTCTCCGTTGTTTGAGAGCAAACTTGTTCATCATCATTTACAGTTAGGACTGTCTGCAGTAATTCTTGTGCCAGAGTTCAAGAAGCCGTAATTAATAATGCCGGCATAGGTCTGTCGTATAGTCAAGCAACAAGTAGCTTCTTTTGAGTTAATTTGTGCTTATGGAATGCATTTACATCAAATTTTAAGCGATCGCTTGCTACTATTGCCTAAACGTTTTCAAACTTATTTTACACCGACTTTATCTCAGCATCACCATAAGTCCACGATTATTGCATCATATTGTGTATATGATTGTATACACCGTGTATACAAATATCTTATTCGAACATAATTTTATTTAAGTAACAACACGTAGGTACTGCTTGTTCTTTTTCTTAGAATTTAGAAAAACCCAAAAATTCTGCTTTGACATTTCAAAGAACCTCAATTACGGTCATTGTGGATATTCCGAACTATAATAAGTCATTATTATATTATGTTGCGGTGGAAACATCACCGGTCATCGCCCGTTGAATGTATTATTTCAAATTAGAAGTCGTGATTGCGTGACACTTTCTACAACAATGGTCGATGGAGCACCACTTGTTCAGGATTGGAATTGAAACGATGATAATACTTGAAATAATAACCACGCATCGAATCGCCTCATTCGCTTGACATTTATGACAGATTAACTCTGGCAACACTTAATAACCAGCCCGCACGCTATCTATCTATTACTCGTAAATGACAAGATATTTTGAAAATGTATCGTTGAATTTTATTAATCGAATAATGATTGCCTTAATTAGATTACGGTACATAAAATCATACGATTTATTACATATACGCCTATTTATATTACATTAAGTACTTTAACATAAATTAACATATTTTATTAATTTTGATCACCCTAAAATAGTAATAAAAATAGTAGTCTGAAATCTATCTATCTATTTACTATAATAAAACTGTTCCCATACCAAATTTTTAAAATGATTTTTTTTGAAAACTTTAATTGTGTTATACTTATTATACTTATCTGTATAGAATATAATTTTTTGTTGTTTTTCCTTCAGCCTGTCTATCCCTTTGAAAACAATAGGCTCTGAAACTACTTGATATATTTTCATGAAACTTGGCATGATTATAGCGTATTAAAAGTAACTTTTTTCATAAAAAGTTTTCGAAAATAGTGGAAGGCTGTTGGGACAAGGTTTGGCGAATATGGCGGATGAAGAAGGGTCTCTAGCTTTAGTTCTGCTAATTTACCAACGCCTCCGTCGTCAACTGTGCGTTACTCAATTTGTGAGTTTCTTTATTTCCGAGTCATCGCAATTGATCTAATATTGTTTTGACGTTTACATAAACAGCTGATGCTATCTAAGCTGTAGTTTGAGACGGATCTGCGTCCACTATCGCCGTCAGTTCGTCATTATCAATCTTCTGCCCTGGTGGGCACGAGCCCTAGAGGCAGAAACAAAAGATAATATAAGTATTACCTGTCACCTATAATGCTTGTAGAAATTAGTTAAATTACATTGTTATAAGAATCCACCAGTAACGGTGCACGAATGCCACTCAAGATATGCGGAGGTGTTTAGAAAAATAAAATCTCGCCCTGGTTTTTCTGTAGCCCCCGATTATTTATTTATTTATTTATGCACATAGTAGTACATATGGCTGACTTAATGGCATAGGGTCTCTCCCAGTCAACCATTAGGCTAAACAGAGATATACATAAGAGGCGGTGCAACTATAATCAAAATAGAAAGGGTTAAAAAAATATATAATTAACTATATACTTAACTATATACTTAAATATATACAATATATACATATATAAATATGTATGCATAATACATATAAATATTATCTATGTCAGAACTAATATGAAATATACATATGTATATGAAAATAAGAGCTGTGTTAGTTCAAACTTGCAACGATTTTGTCACATGCTTGCGGACTTGATTTCAAAAAATAAACTTGTTGTTCGTTGGGATTTAAATTCGACTGTTTATTTCATACATAATAAATATTATTTATTAATGTATTACGTAAATATAACTATATGTTAAATAACTATGATACAACTATTATAATATACTTTATTACTACATTTACCGTGTATCTAGTTAGTGATGGTAATATCCACTATCTCATATCATACCGTATGTGTATAGAGGCGACAAAGGAAAAATGAACCAGGAGATGGGCAACAGTATCTTCCTGATAACAGATAACCTGATAAAAACAAAAAAAATCGGTTGCCAACACGCTTGCCAACAACGCAACTGCAACTGCGTGGCAACTATGGCAAAAACCTTCATGAGATCTATAGGGGAGCCCTATGTTCAGCAGTAGACTTTCGACAAGCTGTAATGGTTGGTAATACAACTATATATACTACACGTGGTAGAATCATGCTGCAGCGATATTAAAGTTATAGCACGAATAGGTTGCCTCGATCAGGGTAGAACTACGCTCTCACTGAATACCAGATAGTCTAAGAGCCAGTGAGCGACAGACGTACGGTATTTCAATAAGCTTCACGTTTTTTTTTTTTCAGTTAATCCTCTAAACCTGAGGTACATGAAATGTGGACTCTTTAGTTTGACAGGAGTGACAGACGCTCAGGTGTGAAAGGTGTAAAAAATGACGTAAATTATAAAAAGTTAATTTTAAAGGAAAAATTGTACTTGTCAACCCTATCTGCCATGACTTGGGACCACCATAGGCGTCCGCCATTGTTATTTTTCAGTAACTTTTATTGAATATTTGAAGATGTCAAAGCAACAGACTTATTATTTTTTTTTTACACCTTTTATACCTTTTATACCTTTCATACCTGAGCGTCTCTATATCAAGCCTGGCTGGTCTGCCGCTCACTGGCTCTTAGACCAAGAGTAAAATAGCAGCTCTACATTGTTTTCTTTCGTACGGTAAGTGTAAAGAACCGGAGACCCTTTTTACTGGAAATGAGGCATTCCATCTTAGTCCTCAGGGGTGACAACGAATCTGCATTTTGATTCATAATCGAAGATAGATGTAGAATGTCTATGGGCCCCAGCATACACTTCCATCAGATGGACTGCGTGCTCATTTGTCACCATTATACTATAAACAAAAAACATAAAACGTAGGTATTATAATTAATGAATAAATATTAAATGCTATTATTTATTAGGAGAATGACAACTATTTCAATTTTAGCAGAAAAAATAAGAATAGAACAAAAGATAAAGAATTAAATTTAACTTAAATTGAAAATTAAAAAAAAACCCCGAAACAAAAAGAGCTGATGATCTTCAAACGGCTGTACCGATTTTGATAAAACATGTCT